GTTTTAAAATGTGATTGCTCCCGGGTTAAAGTGCTGTTTGGAACCACCCCAAGTAACTTTCTCACAAGTGTAGAGCTTGGGAAAGATTTATCTCTGATACAGAATACTATGTTATACCTTTGGCCGAAGCTATATGTAAAGGAACATTCATTAATTTAATAGCTCTCTAAGAATATACTATATAGCAGAGCTTTCCAAACTGTGTGTTGCAACACATTAGTGTGTTGGCTGCAGTGTCTGTTTGTGTCACGCAAACATCTGTAATGAGAAACTTTTGAGTCTATAGGAAATAAGCAATTCTGACTTGCATGCATTTTATACAGCAAAGTGCAATTTAGTATTAGTAACATTATTAATATTAGTGACATATTGTTACTCAAAGGATAAAAACTTGGAAATGCTATTATCTAACAAATCATATATTAAATATGTTGTGTCCTCTTACATTTTCTTATTACAATGTCCGTATGTGTCTGTATCTCTCATAAAGGGTTGGTTTAACCTAGTAAAAATGAATCAGTATGTCGCAAAATGGTACTAACGTAAAATGTCTGGAGAGTTCTGCTATATAGACTTCTAAGGGATGTACTATGACAGATTTTCTGAAAACCTATGCTTTTAAATCTGAAAAAAAGAGATCAGAAGATGTGATGGGAAATTCCTGCTATATGAGTTGGGTGGGGAAAATTACTGCTCAGAATCATCATACTTAGAAAGGTGAGTTCTTGATCCTTTGTACACCCCCTATGCCCAGACCAAGAATAAATCCCAGAGAGGGAGAATGGTAGCGAAATGACAATAACTTCTTAGTAGCTTTCATTCAACTATATGGGAAAAAGCAAATGGACTGAAATCTGTAAATGTAATGGGAGATATATACAATCTGCTCACCCTAGGTATTACCAAGTCCCGAAAGCTAACTTTTCTGAGTACAATCAGCCCTTCGTAGCGACAGATTCTGCATCCATGGATTCAACCATCCATAGCTTGAAAATATTTTTTAAAGCAAACCTTGATTTTGCCATTTCATAAAAGAGACACAATTTTATTATACCATTGTATATAATGGGACTTGTGCATCAGAGATTTTGGTATCCATTATTGTATCCTGGAACCAAACCTCAGTGGATACCACGGGGCCAACTGTACTTGCCTTGACTTCTCCCCATATAAGATACTGACTGCCATTCGCTTACATAGAGGAGAATGCCACTGAGAACCCTTTCCTACAAACACCCATGAGGAAAGGTATTTCTGACACATAGCTCCTTTCAACATCAAGAGCTGTCAGTTTTTCAAAAAGGCTCAGTACGCAATGTTAGCTATGCTGGGCCAAGATTTCACTACAAGCATCACTCAATTTAAGGGTTTCAAATTGCCCTTCACTTACTCCAGTGAACTCCAGGGAATTATAGTTCTCTAAGATTGGTAGGCAGTCCTAATGAACTATTTAGCAGTCTCACAAAATTACAAAACTAGGGTTCTTTGGGAGAAGACTTTGTTTTGAATAATCCTCAAATCCATTTTAAATTTCTAGTACATTTTTCCTAGCGTTTAATTATGAATTACCTGATTATCTACAAAGAAAAGCAGCTGAAAACCATGACAACAATAGAATAAAAGATGTCTTTTTTAAACAACTGAGTTGAAGCTGAAAAAAATTACATCACTTCTAGTTTAGGTAATCACCACTTGCAAAACACTGAACTATTATGATGATTGCACGTGTGTGAAATATTTAAAGAGATAAGATAAGCTTAATAGAAATGGAAATAAGAAAGTAGATGACTAAATAAACTTGGTTAGCTGTTGGAGTCAAAGGAAATGTTTGTTCATTAATTTCTGGAGAGCATACTCAAGCTCCGTCTGTCCATAGCCAGAGGAAGTAACAAGTACATTGGGAATTTTCATTTTTTATTTGAATGCAGATCTGCATGATCATGCAGTCAAAAACGCACAATCACCGGATCTAAAACTTCTAGTCTTTCTAGGCCCAGACGGAGTAATAAGGGAGACACTATGCTTGAACAAACACAACATACGATGGAACAATTAACATTTCCTTTTGGAAAACAACATTAGTTCAGCATATGTGCAAGAATAAATTGCTAAAGCAAATGGGAACGTCTGCACCATGAGCACACAAGGCTACCCTTCTAGATTTCAGTTAGGATGAAGAAATAATTCCTACCATTATTTGTCTTGTGAAAAACCTAACACTTGATGAAGCTGTGAACTGAAATAACTGAAAACACATCACTCTTCCACAGAGGTTATGGCAACAACAAACTCACACACAACTAGGGAACATTAATTCTCTGCTGGATGGAGTGAATGAATAATTGCTGAGGTGAGGAATATTTGAAGATTATTATAGAGTACCACAACAATTGGCAACTATTAGATATAAGACCATAATATCACATCTGTAGCTTAGGTATAAGAAGCACTGAACTTAGGACAACTGTAAGTATTTGTGACAGATGCGAGAATATTTTTTGATGCATTCTAAGGACTTCTGAATGTATTCAAAGTTTCGAAGCAAGTTTACAACATCATGGTGATGACGATAATTATATATTATCATTTATTGATACTATATAGCACCATCAACGTACATGGTGCTTTACATAATAATAATAATAATAATAATAATAATAATAATAATAAGTAGTAGTAGTAGTAGTAGTAGTAGAAGAAGAAGCTGTATGGGAAAACCAAAACTGAAATCCAGCCTCTGACTAACACTGTCCGAATCTTTAGCACTGGTATCAACATGGAGTTTGGTTTGGACAAATGTTCGACAGTGGCACTGAAGAAGGGAAAAATAATTGAAAGTGAGGGCATGAATATGCCCAATGGCCAAGTGATAAAGTGTCACCAGCCAGAGGCCTATAAATATCTGGGCATACTACAGCTAGACAACATCAAACATGAACATATGAAAACTGTGGTCAGGAAAGAATAGTCAAAGGGTCAGAAAAATTCTCAAAATCAAACTCAATGGAGGCAATACCATCAAGGCCATAAACTCCTGGGCCATACCTGTCATAAGATACACTGGTGATCATAAAGTGGATGCAGGCAGATCTGGACAATTTGGACAGGAAAACAAGAAAACTCATGACCATTCATAATTCAGTACATCCTCACAGTATTGTCGATTGGCTCTATCTGCCTAGAAAGTCTGGTGACAGAAGACTTTTACAAGTAAAACAAGCAGTCGACAAGCAGTCGAAGAAGAAAAACACGCCCTGGCAGAATATGTAAAGAAAAGCCAAGAACCTGCTTTGATTGCATGGGCAGTTCCTTGACAAAATTGAAGGAAAAGTTGATAAGGAGAAAACCTGGTTATGGCTCATGAATGGAACCCTGAAGAAGGAGACAGAAGGCCTGATTCTTGCAGCCCAGGAGCAAGCATTCAGAACAATGCCATTAAGGCCAGGATTGAAAAATCAGATGATGACTCAAAATGCAGACTGTGCAAGGAAGCTGATGAAACCATGGATCATATATTCTCAGCTGTTGCAAGAAAATCGCACAGACGGACTACAAACAAAGGCACAACTCTGTGGCCCAAATGATTCACTGGAATTTATGTCACAAGTGCCACCTGCTAGCAGTAAAGAATTGGTGGGATCATAAACTTGCAAAGGTCGTGGAAAATGAACACGCAAAAATACAGTGGGACTTTTGAATCCAGACTGACAAGTTTTGGAACACAATACACCAGACATCACAATTGTGGAAAAGAAAAAAGTTTGGATTATTGATGTCATCATACCAGGTGACAGTTGCATTCAGGAAAAGCAACAGGAAAAACTCAGACGTTATCAGGACTTCAAAATCGAACTGCAAAGGCTCTGGCATTAACCAGTACAGGTGGTCCCGGTGGTCATCTGCACACTGGGTGCCATGCCAAAAGATCTCAGCCAACATTTGAAAACAATAAACATAGACAAAATTACAATCTGTCAACTGCAAAAGGCCACCTTACTTGGATCTGCATGCATCATTCGAAAATACATCACACAGTCCTAGACGCTTGGGAAGTGTTCGACTTGTGATTTTGTGATATGAAATCCAGCATATAGATCTCATTTGCTGTGACATACTGTGTTTTTGTGTCAGTAAAATAATAGTAATAATAACAATAAACTTTATTTATATTCTGCTCTATCTCGCCAAAGGTACTCAGGGCGGATTCCAAACATAAAAGGCAAACATTCAATGCCTGAAAAGAACGATTAAACAGAATGCAAAAATGAAATAAATGCATACAGGATTGGGGCAAGCCAATTTATACTAGCAAATACAAATCAACTTTTTATTGAAAGGCTTGAAAGAATTGTTTGGCCATATTGCAGTCATTAGCAAAATGAGAGCTGTCGAGTGCTAGCACTGTTTCTCATGTGCAAATGGTTAGAATTGCAAAATTATAGCACATAATGTGACACAACAGGCAACCTCTGCTTTGGAAAGGATTGCATAAAAATTTAATTAGCTTTCATCTCTAGAGATTACAGTCCCCTCCAGGTCACCATTGAGGTTATTGGTGGAGCAATAGGCAACTGCAGCTGCCTCCCCATTGGACTCAGGTTTGCTTAGCTATGCTTTCCAGTACCATCAGAATAATTCATTCTGATGATAAAAGGAGGGTCACTGTGAGAAATAGTACTGGGTGCAACACTGTAATGTGACAGATAACTTTGCCTTTCATCTGACTAATATCTTAAATCGGCTGGCACTCAAAGAGCACAGCTTTCAACGGGCTTTCGATCTTTCATTGGCCTCAGACAGTAGGAAAATAATCAGCTCTTGATGGGAGGAGATGAATGCTCAGAACTCATAGGATAGGGAGAGTCACTCATAAATAACATTATGTTGCCATCACCATACATTGCAGTGTTTCAGTGTCACATTTAGTAATAACTCCTGAACCATTAACCATTTTGAAATAAACTAAGGTATGTATAAAACATGATGTTCAAAATCCTTACATCATTCAGTTGTTTAGAGCGTCCTGGTGTAGTTGTGCTGGAGAACTGTCTGTTTCCTGCCTTTAAAGCTGCATCTCTTCTTGCTTGTTCAAGCAGAATTCTTGCCCGTTCTTTTAATTCTTCCTGTCTTGATAACATTCGTTGCTTAAATAGAATTTAAAGAGAAAAAAACCCCAAAGAATTAATGAGAAATATGACCAAGCTCTCCCACACACAACATACTGTACTGCATCAGAAATGCTTCATCCACCAAAACTACCACAAATAAATCAAAGGAAGACATGCAGTCCAGTTCTTGCAAGTAAAGCTATAACTCAATCCAAGATCAAATCATGTATTTTAAAAAGTCAGTTTTGGGCTCCAGTTTTTGGAATCAAAGCATCTGTTCTCTATATGCTGTATGATTCCTGTATTTGTAAAGGATATGTTCCTGTACTTTGTGTGCATACTTGAATTGTGATTAATAGTGAACCTTATTGAAATGAAGGATTTCTGGCCCAATAGTCATGCTGGAAGACCTAGAAAATACCCAGCAAGGATGTATTTTGCCAGACATGGATAAAGAAAAATATGGATTCAAGTCTCACAAATATAGGGATTGCACTGTACAGCCACCTGTGGCAAAGATACAGGAAACATCACTATATTTTATTTACATTTTAAAAACCTCTTTACATTAAAAAGCAGATATTTCTTGCAATATATTATTTTTTAGTTGGAGTTCAAATGTACATTACTATACTAAAAGCTTTGCTAGAATGAAGCTGAATGATTCCATCCATGATTTTTCTTTTTTCTTGCTCCTTGTTCCTGTTTTGAGTTTGGGAGTAAGAATCAGGTGCATGAATTTTTGAACACCCTATTTCTCACTTACTACTGATTACATGGGAAGAAAATACATACATACAGACATGGAAGAAATACGTTAGCTGCCACTAGTTCTCTATACACCTACAGCACAGCTCCTAGAGCACAGTGTACAAGAGGGAGGTGAATAGGCAAGATAAATTTTGGTTGGGGAGGCCAGATTTCTGTTTATGCAAGCCACTTGCAGCTATTAAATGTTTGTGTTCTTGACCGAGGGTGAGAGATGGTTCAGTGCCTTGAGGCAGGCCTGTAGCCAGGATTCTGATTCGGGGGGGTGGGGGGGGCTGAGTCTGAGTGAAAGAGGGTCTACCCTAGCAAACCTTTTGTATCATTACCCCAATACCCCCATGCATATGGGATATATTGATCAGATCATGATATGAATAAACATAACACTTTAAATAATGCAGTTTAAGTAAGGCCTTCTCGCGGACCACCATGAGAATTGGGGGGGGGGGGGGCTGAAGCCCCTCAAGCCCCCCCCCGGGCTACATGCCTGCTTGAGGCCTTTCTAAAGATTGACATAACTCAATGCAAACATACAGAAATATTTAAAGCACTTTGACAACAGTTTGAAACAAATGACTTTGCTGCTCTGGATGTTGATTGGTTCAAGCCAATGCCTGCTAGAATCCGTTTGCTGGTTGGTTGAGAAGTTCCGTCCACCACTGTTGATTGCTTTCTGGGTTTGGTGGGAACTTTAATAAATAGTCATTGCTCAATTTGAAGTTTTGTGATCATTGCTTGTTCTACCCCTTACAGGTGTGGGAAGCGAAATAATGTGGGTAGGGTTTGAGCTAGTGCTGCTAATGATGGTAGTTTCCCAAGTCTAGGTGAGGACAATGGTTGGTTGCAAAGCAATGGGTATTAATGGCTGTTAGCCCATCTGAATGGGTTCCCAGGAGGACAGAGGCATGGCATTGGGCAACTTTTGTGATCTTTGGTTTGGCTCCATTGTTAGGCATTGTTAGGGGATTATGCCTACCACCTGAATGGGGCAATGGAGTTTTCCTATCTTTCTCCCCGGTGTGTGTATGAATGCTTGTGAAACTTGTATATCTAGGCTAAAAATGATCTGTGGAGGTTAGACCAAATTAGGCTTCTGGGTGAAAGGTTGCCTTGGACTTGGCAACCGAGTCCTTTCTATGGCCATGGGTTTGGGGGTTCTCTTCGAGATTCTAAGTTCTGTCAAAGCTCAAAGAAGATGTGTTGTGGTAGTAAGGGACCCCTGCTAAGAGGTACAGAAGTAGACCTGACAGCATGACTCAAGAAATATCCTGTCTCCTTGGAGCAAAATTCCAAGATGTAATGAAGAAGTTGACAAGTTTGTCAAGCCCACATATCATTTGGTCCATGTGGGAACTAACAAATCGGTACGGTGTAACCTTTGGGAGATCACAAATTATGAGGCTATGGGTAATAAGCTAAAGGGGCTTCATGCCCAGATCATCATTTCGTCTCTCCTTCCAGTTCAAGGACATGGCCAAGGAAGGGAGAGAAGAAGAACAGAAGTGGCTTTGCAGATGATACTTCTTCCACAAATGATTTGGCTTCCTGACCTATGGTATGAGGTTTGGTGAAGTTGGGCTTCTGCAAGGGATTGCACCTCAGAAGTAGCCAGGAACATTTTTGCTAAGAGTGACACAAATATAAATAAATTCAGGTCACCAAAGAGCAGTTGAGGAATACTTGATCATCAGCAATAATATTCAACAGAGGAGAAATGAAAATTGCTGCAGACTTCCTCTTCCTGTTCTTCCCACATTCTTTCCTATTTGTGACTGTCCATGCTCACAACTGTCAGTCATGGAATGAAATGGTTTGGTAAAGAGATGAGTTAAGGAAGCAGTATGTGTATATGTGTGTCCACAACACATCAACTGAATATGTAGTTTCTTGGAAATACCTTAAAATAACACTGAATGTGTATATATATGTGTGTGTGTGGGCGGGGGGAGCTAATGTACATTCCAGCAACTTGATTGTGATCTTTGACTGTGATCTCAGGCATCCATAACGCCATCCAAGCATTTTTAAGAGGCTAAGATGCTCCTTTCCTTCAGGAGTTTAGCTAACGAGTGAAATAATATTAATGATTAGTACAACTATTATCTGGAGAAGAATAAACTTCCTAATTTATTTTTAAGTAGATGGGGAGTGGATCTTCCTTGATAGAAACCAGCTTTCTAAAAAAAAAGAACAAAATTTCACAAATCCACACTTTTAATGCAACTGCAATTGGACAACAGTGTGCCTACTACCTCAGTTTCTTACTCAGTTGTAATCATCTCCTTTTGACAATGGAAGGTTTTTAATCCAATTCAAGAGTGAAAGATGTGGTTTACATGTATTTCTCTTTACACCTCCCCTCCCTGGCAGATATCCTCAGCTATTTGTTCTATAAAGCTGGAAGTTGTTCTGTGGAGTTGGAAGAGGGAATGGATGGGGAAAACCATCTTCATGCCCTTCCCATTGCTTTCCACACTGTGGTAAAAGATAAAACGTGGCTCAAAGCCAATATGTGTATCATTTCTGAATCAATTTTTGAAACTTTGTGAGGAAACAAAGTTGGGTGTTAGCCAGCCTGAATGGGTTCCCAGGAGGACAGAGGCACGGCACTGGACAACAATTAAGTGCAGGACTCTGATACTGACGATGTACACTGCAATCCAGGAATTACTAAACCATAATAACACTGGTGAATGTATCTTTGCAATCACATATACAACATATTTTAAAGGAACATAGCTGAAGACCTTGTACTACAAGAAAAGAAGAATTTGGGTTGTTGTAGGTTTTTTCGGGCTATATGGCCATGGTCTAGAGGCATTATAGCCTGAAAAAACCTACAACATCCCAGTGATTCCGGCCATGAAAGCCTTCGACAATACAAAGAAGAATTTATTTTTGAAATCTGTGTATCTTAAAAATGAGTTCTCTAGTAGCCATTATTTGGATATTAACAACCTTCAAAATAGTTTAAAGCATGGTCTTTTTGCTTGTGTAGAGAGCTAGAGGGATGATTTTATGAATACCCACACACGTTACTATGAAAACTGGATTAAAATTCGCCAGTTCTTGGTAAACAGGTTAGCAGACCATGTATACATTTCACTATACTTTTCTAAAATACATTCACTATGCATGCTTAAACATCCAGTAGTCTTAGCAAGGCAAAAGTTTTTCTTTTAACAATGTTCACATTATTTTACAAAAATTAAAGAGCTCATAAAACAATAAAGGGCACGAATTGCAACCTCGACAACCCGAACTGATATTCCACATCAGTCATCATCTCACTGAGTAGCTTACTTAAGTAAACCATTGTCTCCTTGCCACTGTCTGACTGGCTTTCCTTACTGTTTTTTCCCTCATAGAAATTGCTATGTATTTGTTGCTGAATGTTATGGGCCATAAATTTCTTTTAAAATCGGGTGTGTGATTGTGCATATTCTATGTAAAAGAATACAAAACTATGCTTTATTGAAAAAGCTGATTATAGAAAATAATTTGCTCTGACAGGAGACAAACAAATGGAAACCTAAAGAAGTACTAATGTGCCAAAAGGGTGTTGGGGTTGCTTTCAATGTTCTATATCAGAGGTTCTTAAAGTGTGCTCTGCATTGAGGGGCTCTGCAAGGCATACTGAGAGGCTCTGAGCTTCCCTCCTCCTCCTTTCTCCTCCTCTTCTGCCTCCCCCTCCTGCTCCAAGGGCACAAGGTGGTGACGTCATGCTGCTTCCCTCCTCTTCACTCCTCCTCCTGCTCTAAAAGCATGCACCAGGTTTCCCTCCTTCCTCCTCTTTCCTACTCCTCCTGCTTCAAGGTGACATGGTGGCAACATTGTCCTCCTGGGGAACTTACTTTTCCCTCTGTGCAATGCCACCTCACCACTCAGACTCCTTCCTTGTCTATTTCCCTTCCACTGTTCAGGGAGTGTTTTGATTGTGCTTTGCCTGCATGGCAGAAGAGGGTTAGATTGGATGGCCTCTGGGGTCTTCCACTGAATTACTGTTACGTTTATGTTAGTTAAAATTATTCTTCATTTTAATATTATATTGTTTCTTCTTCCCTTTTTGCACTACAAAAGAGATGCATGCAGTGTGCGTAGGAATTTTGTTATTGTTTTCTAATTAGTTCACACAAACACTCTGCACCCATCTACCAGTCGCCTGGCCCGTCTATTAAATTTTTAAATGCAATGCGGCCCCTGTGACCAAAAGTTTGCCCATGCCTGATATATATATATTACTGTATATATAATATATAGCATAATACATAATATATGATATAATATATAAACATTTCTTGGGGCTCCTTGAGAAACTTTTGCTTCAAAAACGGCTCAGCAACTGAAAAGGTTTGAGAACCCCTGCCATTATATATACGGGTCACCATTTTATTATGCCCCAGTGGCGCAGTGGGTTAAACCACTGAGCTGCTAAACTTGTTGACTGAAAGGTCACAGGTTTGAATCCGGGGAGTGATGTGAGCTCCCGCAGTCATTCCCAGCTTCTGCGTAAGTGAATCTCCCTTCAGGAGTGAATCTCCCTTCCTGGGAGTAGATTTCTCTCACTTCTGCCAATCTAGCAGTTCGAAAACATGCAAATGTGAGTAGATCAATAGGTACCGCTCCGGCAGGAAAGTAACAGCGCTTTATGCAGTCATGCTGGCCACATGACCTTGGAGGTGTCTATGGAAAATGCCAGCTCTTTGGCTTAGAAATGGAGATGAGCACCAACCCCCCAGAGTTGGACACAACTGGACTTAATGTCAGGGGAAAACCTTTTCCTTTAACAGTATGTAATGAGACTTGAGCATCCACAGTGTCCTGGAAGCAAGAGTCCATTGCACTTTTGAAATGGTCTACATACGCTATGTCTGCAGTTCCTGGTGATACAGTAGGTTAAAGCACAGAGCTGCTGAACTTGCTGACTGAAAGGCTGGTGGTTTGAATCTGGGGAGCAGGTTGAGCTCCCAGTGTTATCCCCAGCTTCTGCCAACCTAGCAGTTCGAAAACGTGAAAATGTGAGTAAATAGGTATCACTTTGGTGGGAAGGTAATGGCACTCCATGCAGTCATGCTGGCCAGATGACCTTCAAGGCGTCTATGGACAACGCCAGCTCTTTGGCTTAGAAATGGAGATGAGAACCACCCCCCAGAGTCAGACATGACTAGACTTAATGTCAAGGGAAAATCTTTGCTTTTTACACACCCTATGAATGCATCTATTAAGTAATACAATAAAAGGGAAATTATGTCTGCCACATTAGTTTTTGAGCATTAAAGACAATAACGATGAAGTACACTTTCATATTTTTTACTGCAACAAAAAGAATTTGTATTATCAAAAAATACTTCCATCTCTTACCTGTGTGGTTTTTGCAGGCAGATCCATCGGACGTAGAATCATCTTTGTTTCAAAATCAGTCTCTATTTGCCTCTCAGTCAAATGTAATTTTTTATCAATATCCTCATTCCTGTTATGAGAAAATCCAGATTTACCTCCTTCTTCTAAATCAGATTTTTGAACATGTGATTCAGAATCCAGTTTCCCACTTTGTTTTTGATCTGGTTGCCCAAGATTTTCTGGTTCTGAAAAATTAATAGTAGTGCCAGAATTCTGGTGTCCCTTCTTGTCAGTGTCTTCATGTAACGTTGAAAATGTGTCCATTTTTGGATCCTCAACTTGTGCCAAATCACTAAGATCTAGAGTATCTGCTTTTAGTAGTTTCCTTCTTCCCAACAGAGGTGGTACTTGTGTCTTATTGCTTTTCTCAGTTTCCTCATATCCAGAAGCCCTTCCCAAGTTCTCTTGGCTTTTCTGTTGACCTATATCACTGTTAGTCCTTTGGGAGGGAGGAGAAATCACACAGGGGTCAAGATTGTCATCTGTCATTTGATGCTGATATGAAGACTGGTGTTCTCTTTTTGGCTCTGTAACTCCACTGTGATTAAGAAACATGGCGTCATCAAAAACAAAACCAGCCATGTCCCCTTCAGGTGGCTGTTGTTCTGGCTCGTGTTTAAGGTCATTAAGTTCTGCATAGAACTTTTCCTGATCCACAGAGCTGTTTGGATCTGTTTCATAGTTGCCCACTTTGTATGTGCTTTTGCTACTGTTCTCTTCAATCTGAACAACATTTAGCTCCTGACCACTGAAATGTGCCCGTATTTGATAAAGATAGGTCATGACAGAAAGTTTGTCAGGAATTGCTAACAAAACCATATCAGAAGGTTCTAGGAGTCGAGATATTCCTATACTGGCGAATCCATCGTAGGCCTAAAACAAAAAGAGGTAAAGTTAGTGTTTCTTTTATTTTGTATATTAACTTGTACAATAAAATATTCAAAGTAAGATTAAAAAAGTAGACTATTACTGCTGGTGGCACTTTTGACTCTAAATTAAGTTTTCTGTGAGTTCTCAGTTCAGTTTCCTTGAGATCAACAGTCTTTCTAACAACTTCAAATAAGATATGGATAAAAGGCTGTTTGCTACCATTAAAAAGAAGACTGTAAGTAAAACATCCATGAAGCAGGCCTATAAACAAAATGAAATAGTTTTGAACTTCACTGCTCAATCCTATGCTAGCTTACTTGAAAGCAACTAACATGGTGAGAATGGCCCTTACTTCCTATCAAGGACAAAATGGCCATTTGCAAGAAGGATGATTCATATATGATGGCAACATCTTGACTTAGAGAAGGTGTCCCTCGCTATCAAATAGTCTGCAATAGGACATGTCTTGCGATGCACCATTACAAAACCAGAGTGAAAGGTAATGGAGAGAATGCAATTAGATGTTATCCTGTCTTTTTATATAGTACTTTTTGTTTCTATAAGAGTGCTTTTTAAAGTCATGGGCCCTTTGTGAATCTGAAAGCCACCTATCCCATGCCGTCAGCAATAATGCTGATTATACATTATCTGGCCATGTATAGATAATGCCACCCTACATTCATTTGGGGTGAAACAAAATTTTAATAATATAATCCCACGCTATTTTAAATCATGATTTTTATAATACATTAATATGTTTGGATTTTGATATGTTTTGGTTTGTATGTTTTTTTAAATTGATGTGAAATGCTATGTTTTGTTGTTGTTGTTCCTTGTCTCATGCCGCGGGGAGAGAAGGATAAGAAATAATAACAATAACAACAACAGCAACAACAATAATAATACATTTCTTCCATAAAGGCAGTTTTCAAAGTAACATAAAAGAAATGAAATGAGAGGGGAATTTTTTGCACCCAATTTATAGCCTCCTGGAGTCTGAACATGGACCACAGGATGAGAGAACCTGTGATGTATTACATAGTTGTCATGTTGTGGGAAACTACTTGAAGTACTTGATGTGTAATGAGTATCAAAAAAGTGTGAAAGGCCTTCAGACATTTACGATATACACTTGTGTATAAGCTGATCTCATGTATAAGTCGAAGGCAGGTTTAGGGGCCAAAATAGATAGGTTGCTTCTTTGTAATTGTGTTTCTTTGAGTGGTTAACTGTGAAATCGCACAAATGGGTTTACTATGCCTGTGCAATGCCCTTTCAGAACTTTCTAGAGCTCTTTAGATACATTTTAAACTGTAACCTTTACCTCCTTCCCCATTGGTATATATATGTGGTAGCTGCCAAAACTTCAACCACTACCAGTGTAATTTGGAATGGCATGACCCAAGCAGGGAGACCAACCCAAAGAAACACAGTTACAGGTAAGCAACCAGTCCTTCCTTATAATCTCTGTGAATTGCACAAATAAATGACTAGCAGCTATTAGTTTCAGGTTGCAGGTGTCATGCCAAAAAGGGAAAAAGTAATGCCTTTCCAAAAGCACTGTTACCTCAAGACCTGGCATCTAGTCTATATTATGACACAAAGGTCAAGGAGGTTTATAGGTAGCAGCCCTGCATGCCACATGTACTGGTAAACTATGGAGGAAAACTGTATAAGTTGACAAAGCCTTCAGGGAATGAGGGAGCAGCTTTCCAGGTAGTAAGTGGAGGTCTTTGGAATGAGACTGGCAATCCCAATCTCATTTTAAATTAACACAAAAAGAGACTGGTAGTTTTTCTATGTGCCTTGGTCCAATTAATAAAGAAGGCTAAGGTCCTTCTGACATCCAATCAGTTAAAAATCTTCTCCAATTCCAATGATGACTCCTGGAAGAAAAAGGGCAATATGGTTTCTTGGTTCCAGTGAAAAGCACTCTCTACGCTGGGAAGAAAAAAGATGTCAGGGTGCAGGACAACCTTATCTTGGTGGAAGGTGAGATATGGCTCATCAGCCCAAAGACCACAGTTTGCTTGCACGCCTAGCCGAGGTGATAACAACCAAGAAGTTCATCTTCCAGGTAAGGAGGAGGAGTTCCAGTTTACAGCTGTATAGTCCTGGAGGAAGGTCTTGACTAAGGGATCTGAAAATTACTATGGTTTTTTCAATTTATGAAGGTAAATTGACACCTATATTTCAAGGATACAAGTGTCAGTGGGAAAATCAAACAAGGAAGTCCAAAACATCCAATGTCGAGGCAAAGAGGGGGAAGTTTCAGAATGGGCAAGGAAATCAATGAAGGCTTTCCACTTGAAAATGTAGGATGATTTGCAAACTGAATCTAGATTCAGGCATGTTGGTTCTGAGAGATGCACTAATGAATCATCCGGGCAGTTAGGCTGAGTATCCCAATACAGGCAATCCCCAAGTTACGAACAACATACATTCTATAGATTTGTTCTTAAGTTGAATTTGTGTGTAAGTTAGAATAGGTACATTTTTAAAGTGTAACTCTAGTCACACACACACACACCTTGTATAGTATAGGGGAGGGTTAACACCTCTGTGGTGTTTACTTTGCTGCCTGTGTGTCTGTTCAGAAGATTTTACCTCACTTTTTGTCCCTGTGATAATTGGATTTATAAAAATTTGGCTTCTTGTGGAGATAAGGATTAGTGATAAAGCTTCAACAGAGACACCTTTTCCCCATGATAATTCTTTCAGGAGTGAATTTCCCTTCTTGGGAGTAGGTTTTTCTTACTTCCTGTTGTCTCACCATCATTTGTAACTATGAGTCATTTCTAAATTGGATGTTTGTAACTGTAGAGAAGTGTTTATTATACTGTGTTTTAAAACTGTGTTTAGGCTTTACATTGTAGCCATGGCCTAGCTGAGAGAGATAGGTTGCCATGGTGACAAGCCAGAGGAGGTGGGCGGAGCTTAAGTAGGAAAGGTTTGAAAACGACAGTTTAATTTCAGTCAGGTGGATGAGACCCTGAGGAGAGGAGCAGAGTCAATTGAGGCTCTGTGGAGTAGTGTAAATTCAATTAGTTCCTGGGATTTGTGAATACTGTTTCAGCTAGGAAGCTGAAGGTGGAACCTCGTTAGATTTCTTGAGTAAAAAGGAATCTAACAAGAAAGGGGTTTAAGGATCCCAGTGGTGAAAGACTGGAGATCGTTGGTTGATCCGGTGTAGGACAACCAGTTGTAAATATTCACAATAAGGAACATTGAAATAATTAAGGTACCTCACTGTAGAAGAAGTCAAAGAATTGTAACATCACCTGAATGTATCTCAACTAAGCCATATTTGTAACCATCAAGCTTGTGCCAAGTTCAACAGTTTAATATTGCAACAGTTACGCTCTGACATCAATAAACTTGTTCTCTTTTGTGTTTTAAAACCTGCCTCTTCCATTGATTCAACGTTTTGCACAATCCACACTACCAAAGTGGCCTCACAACTCAGATAAGGATAAACAGAGATTATATTACCAATATCGCTTTATTTTATGGTGGCAGCTTAACCTAGAAGTCTCAAATTCTCATTACATTTGTGTGGTGATCCTATTTAGTTGGGATTTCACGCCATTATTTTATTTTTGGAGACTTCCTCACATATTTCGGTGGCAGCAAGTGAACGGCTTCAAATTGTAGTATCAAGCGGTGGGGACACGGCTTCGCAAATTTGGTGGCAGACGACGGGATTCGTGTAACAACTAATCGAGTGCCTTAAGTTTAATTTTGAAATAAGTTGTGAGGTAAAAGTTGCTGAAAAAATGGCTACCAGGCGGCAGAGAAAGCTAGCTGAGGAAAGAGTAGAGGAAAATTCGAGCTCTGAAACAGATGAGCCAATACCTTTCTCAGAAATGGCTTTTAAGTACAAGTTAGAGATGAAACGATTGGAGTTTGAAGAAAAACAGAGAGAGAGAGAACTGGAGAAAGAGGCAAAACAGAGAGAGTTTGAAGAAAGACAGAGAGTGAGAGAATTGGAACAGGAGTTAGAATTGAAGAGAATGGAGTTTGAGCTAGAGAAACAAAGATTGGCTTTGTCTCAAACAGCCAGTGAAACCCAGGAGGGGAGATCTGGAGGAGATACCCCAGATTTGATGAGGAAATTCCCAAAATTTACCAAAGACGATGATCCAGAGAAATTCCTAATATCTTTTGAGAGATGCTGTCGAGATTTTGGTGTGGCTAAAGAAAGATGGATGACATACCTAAGGCCACAAATAAGTGGGAAACTTTTGCAGATTTATGGACAGATGCCTGAGGAGTCTTATAGAGACTATGATCTGTTTAAGAAGCAAATTCAACAGGAATTTAGATTGACTCCTGAATATTATAGATTTAAGTTCAGGACATTTAAAAAAGATAAAACTCAAAGTTTTGCTCAGGTGGCCTCAAGACTATCTCAACTGTTTGATAGTTGGATAAGAACGTCTGAGGTGGGAGATTTTCAACAGCTGAGGGAACTTTTGAAGCTGGAGCAGTTTTTTCAAATATTGCCTTTTGATATTCGGTGGGTGATTCAAGATCGCAAGCCATCCACTGTTGTTGAGGCAGCGGTTATGGCAGATCAAATTACCATCTTAAAAGAGGGATTTAAAAGAGAAGATCCACCAGGTGAAAGAAAAGCAAACAAGCCGCCATTTTATCCACATCAAACGCACCCACAGCCAGAGAAGGATTCTGACTTAGAAAACACCATCTATAGGGGGCAGAGTGTAACAAAACAAACCGCTCCTGAGGTAAAAAGACGGTGCTTCCAATGTGGAAAATTGGATCATATAAAATATCAATGTCCTCTGTTAAGGAAAGAAAAAACATCCCTCTTTGTGAGCAAGATGAAAAAAACACCACAGGCAGAACAGGATACTGTTTCGAAAGAGAGTTCAAGCTTGGAGCCACAAGAGAAACAATGTTTGTTCATCTTGTCAGGCAGCCCATTTAAAGAATACTTAGAATCCATCAGTATTGACAACAAGGACAGGAAGGGACTCAGA